CATCTCTCAGACCCCAACCAGGGAGTCGTGAAGGACCGACAGAAGCCAGTCCTTTGCAGCTTTCCTTCATGCCACGACACCATGTCATGCACTGACCACCTCTCCGCTTCTTCCGACCAGTCCGAGTCGGAAAACAATGCACGACGTGGAATTCTCTGGGACGACATTCGTAGAACATGTCCAAGCCACCGAAGTCGGTGTTTCAAGATGGTGACACCAATTGAATTATCATCTCTGTGCCCGAACACACGATGCCGAACCTCTGCATTACTAACATGGTGTTGCCACTGAATGTCAGCAATCCTTCGGAGACAGCGATGATCGAACACAGAGAGTCGTCTAACGTCCTCAACTCGGAGAGGCCAGGTTTCACAAGCATAGAGCAAAACTGCTCTCACCGACGCGTTGTAGATCCGACCTTTTACAGCCAGACTAACATCACGAAGGCGCCAAAGGTGGCCCAGATTGGCATAAGCCACTCTAACTTTCACTATTCGTGCATTGATCTCATCACTCACACCCCCACCAGCACTTATGCAGCTACCCAGATACACGAACTTCTCGACTACGTCTATCTGCTCACCATACAGGGTGAGTACAGGATTGGAATCCTGCCAGTCTTGTAGAAGTACTTTGCACTTCGAAGGTGCAAAGCATATACCATACCTACGGACACTGATTGTCAACTGATTAAGTGCGGATTGCATGCCTTGGGCGTTATCTCACAGTAAGACAATATCGTCCGCATACTCAAGGTCGAGAAGTCTTTCTCCAGGCAACAGATCCACACCACCATTACTTACATTCATCAGAGCTGTTTCCAGAATGTCATCGATGGCAAAGTTGAAGAAGAATGGTGAGATTGGGCAACCCTCCCTGACCCCACTGCTCGAATGGAACAATGGAGAGAGGTGGTTGTATGCCCTCACTCTAGCTGAGGCGTTTGTATATAGGGCTTTTAGGATGTTAATAAACTTCTCAGGCACACCCTCCTTCAATAGACAATCCCAGAGAACAGTCCTATCCAACGAATCGAAGGCAGCCCTGATGTCAAGAAACACTACGATTGTTGGCCTTTGATAAGTATGGCGGTGTTCTAACATTTGGCGGAGGGTGAAGATATGATCAATACATCCTCGACTAGAACGAAACCCAGCCTGCTCCTTGCGAGTCAATCTTTCTCGGGTTTTCAACAACCTACGAAGTATGACGGAAGCCAATAGCTTGGACGCAATCGGAATTAGACTTATCCCCCGATAGTTGTTGCAGGAACGACGTGAACCCTTTTTAAAGATAGGGACAACTATCGACTCATTCCATGACGTTGGTACACTCTCTAGTTCCCAAACCTTTGTAAACAACGTCGTCAATTCCTTAGTCAGAAAGTCACCACCATCTTTAAAAAGAGCCTGAGGTAAGTCATCTGGGCCAGGTGATTTGTAACGCTTCAAGAGTTGGAGTTCCTTGCGGACTTCCTCCTCGTTTGGTGGATCAGTCGTCACCGGCCATGGAGAGCAGGACAATCTGACCGATGTTGCCGGAGCTGCAGGCTAGTTGAACTGCCCTTCGAAAAATTCTGCCCACCGTCCAAGACGTCGATGGATGTTAGTGATTGGCATCCCATCATCCTCACAGATTGTTTCACTCACACCAGACTTCTTGCTACCAGTGGCTCGGATGATTTGGAAGAGCTTCCGGTAGTTACCAGATGCAGCCGCTGCTTCCAGCTCATTAGCACGCTTCGACCACCAGGCTTCTCGGTCCTTACGCAAGCTTAGCCCAATTTCATTACGTAACATCCTTCGTTTATGGTCAAACTCACGGTCACCCGGAGTAGACCGACGGGCTTCAATGAGTTGTAAGGAACCAGAAGAAACCCAGTGCTTAAAAGCGGGACGTTTCGCAAACCCACAACTGACTGTTCCCGCCATTTTCATGGCATCATGCAATTGCAACCAATGCTCATCTATACTTTTCGGTGGAGTGGTAGCTAGCCTAGAGGCTAGCTCGGTTCGATACTTACTTGCAACAGAAGTTGCAACCAACTTGCTAATATCAATCCGTTGATGGCGGTCACTTCGTTGTCCACTGAAAAGTAAGGCAAGATTGGCGCAGAGCAATGCATGGTCAGAGTCCAGATAGGTACTCCAAAAGGAGCGGCAGTTTTGTACACAACCACGCCAGCGGTAGCTGATCGCGATGTGATCAATCTGAGTCCAGGCTTGAGATGCAGAGGGAGGACGCCAGGTGGCACATCGGCGATGACTGTGCCGAAAGTTAGTGCTAGCCAGAAACAGGTTGTGGTCTGTGCAAAGTTGCAGTAGACGGTCCCCGTTATCTGACCTGCGACCAACGAGTCCCCATCGGCCACCTAAACGACTCTCTTCTGTGCCTAGACGCCTGACCTGAGCATTCAAGTCTCCGGCTAGTACTACAATATCTGTCGAACGCACTTTCTGGAGAAGAACAGATAACTGGTGGTAAAACTCATCCTTGATTGCATCCGGGCTGCAATCTGTCGGGGCATAGGCGGAGATGACGAAAAGACAACGTTTCTCACGCCGATTTCTTCTCACTTTGATGGAACTTTCTAATCTTACAGCACATAACCGACTGTTAATGGGGATCCAATCGACTAGTGCTGCCTCAGCTCTAGCGCTTAGTGCGACACCAACGCCAGCAAGACCAGACGAAGATGCCACAGGGTCCCCGGATCAGCGCACGTAAAACAAGCTTTTCGAAGCGACAGATGGAGATCGAATTTGTAGTACTTCACCAGAGTCTTGAATACGGGTCTCGGATAGACAACAAAAACATCAATATTAGGACTTTCCAAAGACATAGCCAGCCCTATCTGTTGTCCGACCTGCATAAGTGTGCGAACGTTGAAGGCAGCCAGTTTGAATGATGCACGTGGTTTCAGGAAAACTGCCTCAGTACTCATATTCGGTGGTAACATACAATTTTCAACCGGACAGTGACTCGAGAACGTTTAGATACAGTCGAATTTCCACCAAAGACGAGCCGCTGTATAAGTATAAAAGAGGGTGAATAATGTGGAAAATAATAATAATAATAATAACGACAATAATAGTAATAATAATAATAGTATTAATAATGACAATAATTGTAATGATAATAATTTGAATCAATTGGTTGTCTTTCGAAGCGAGAAATGTAATTTCCATAGACATGAAGAGTTCACCACTTGTGTGTGGGCTGTGATACTGCCCGGGTGCCCGAACCGAAGCAGGTGGTTATCTTAGGGGGCCACTCCCCGAGCCTTTGACCTGAAGGTCTAACCCACAAGGCAGTGGAGCATCGTAAGGAGATGCAATCCCATGGTAGCCGGTGACCAACGATTGGTTCATACGCCATTTGTTCCCGCAGGATATTGAAGCCCATGTGCACCATTGGTTTGGAATCCGGTTAAAGCGCCGGACGTTCGCTTTTCGTCCTCTCATTTTCGTAAACAACACCCCCGCCACGAGAAGGCAATGAGTAGGACTTCCCTGGCAGAGGCTGTATACGCGCGGCCGTGTGAGAGTATTTCGAGAGGGAGAGCGGACTCTACCCACTCTCGGCCGTACCAGGGCATTCGGGGGGCATTTCTTATCTTATTCGTCACATGTTTACAACTTATTTTTGGTCTGACTATAAATATCGACTAACTCTCGATTAAGTTGAGCTTGCTCGCTCACCTACTTCATTGAGCATCATTTCGTCATTCTTCGCCTCCGGGTCAACGATTGCACGAGACATACGTATTGAAAAATCCATTGTCGAATTTCAGTTATTTAATTCCGTTATTTAACAACGTGATTTAAGTCCATGACTATATACAAGGATTGGTGACATGTATATTTTAATAACAAGCGTCAGACGATCAAATTAGTCTTCAGTCTTCAGTAATAAGGATAGCAGTTTGGTGGACCAGTGTTAATCCTTCCAGTGAAGGCCCAGCATCTCCTTGAAAATAATCACTGATGGGGCTGATACCACTTGTTCAGCCAAGGCGTTCCAGCCACTGACCACTCGATGAGAAAAGCGGAGCCGCACTTAAAGTTTGTTAACATTATTGCTACGCCCACGGGAATTATTAATGCTGAGGGGAGCGAAAAGACAAAATATACTAACACCCAAATCGTAGTTAAAGTTATGAAGTGCCAGCATAAGGTCACCTCGCGTCCTATAATACGACAAGGGGAAAGGGTTTAGGCATTTTAAGCTCTCGCCGTAAAGGAGTTTAGAATGACCCCTCACTAACTTTGTTCCCACACACTGAACACACCCAAACGCGTTAGTCTCCTTATTCTTAAATGAGGTATTTGCTTGGATACAATACTCAAAGTGTGACCTTACATAGGTGGGGTATGAAAATCGAAGCATTTGAATGCTCTGCGAAGTGACCATAGTGCACGGTAATCTTAGGCGGCAGATGCGTTGCGAGTCGTGACTATTAGCGTATCCAATGTGCATGAACACACTCTTCCTAGAATTAACTTGTAAGCCTCAACCTCCAGCCCGTCTAACTAATAAGTCTAAACCAGCTTGGAGATCGAAAAAGACAGGCTCACCCGTTATTGTTCTTCAGATTTTGAAATCGTCCTCTAACAATAATGTCGACGACTTAAGCAATAGTGGTAACTCATTTACGTAGAAAAGCAAAAGTAAAGTCAGATCCTTGGCCACCAAAGGCCAACGGTGCTTGTGGTTTTCTTTTCGTCTTGTGTCGGACATAAAGAGCGAGAGTCATCACTTCTTCATCGGAGTGAGAAGCTCCAATGTTTCATCTAGTACTATAGATTTAGTAAGACAACATTAACGTAGGAATAATCTAACGATACTTTTATCCACATTTTAATGGTTTATGCTCGAAATTTTATGAAAATTCAATTTATTGTGGATGGAAAGCTAAACTCAAAGATTTGGAATGATTGTTTTATTGCTTCATTCGATTACTTCAGAACTCAGAAGCACATTCAAGTATTGTCTAAACCATGGCCGGGGAGCTGATTTTAGGTGATTTCTTCTCGGACTTCAGTACAAATGAATTTGTAAGTTAACCCGTTTCTAAAGTTGATGATGTAGGACTCTGTCCAGTCCACCCAATCTTGGATGACCGACATCTTTGAAACTCTAGATGATCAGCAAGTCACTCATGATGATTTGATATTAGAAAATATTCCTGAAGAAATTAAAATTAAGTTGGATGCTCCTCTCTGTGACATTCTGAAAACGGAAAGTAAGTTTTGCAGTGTGCTTATTTCGTAGCTGTCGTAGATGATTTCTTTGTCGGCGATGAGATTGAAATAAGAGAATCTACTTCCTTGGTCTCCTCATTCTTAGATGATACAGCCAATTCTGACGAATCTAGTGGTTATGCATCTTGTGTGCAATCTTCGAACAACTGTTCTCCAAACGTGATCCACACGAATAATGAGTCTTCACGCCCTACAACTATTCGTATAGTCCCGACGTCAGATACAAAGTCCTTTACTACTAACTCACCTCATAAAATCCATGTGACGCGTATCAGTCCTTCTCAAAACAACACTACTGTCCGAGCAGTTTTACAGGAGTCCTCTTTTAAGCTGGACGATAATAAGCCTAATCGTGTCCACTTCATATTGAGACCTTTACCCTCAGATTCATCGCATAAAACAGTATCTTTAAATGAAATAAACCTTGAAAACAAATCTTCAGAAAAGCTCTCTTACTTAAATGAGCACTCACACCTGACCAGTATGTTGCAGAATATCAGTTTTCATCTATTATTCTTTGCAGATTCTAAAGGTTCATATAAATTATTGCACGTCAATAAAATTGAAGAAGACCCAGTATATGATCGAAATGGTGTTGTAGGATCTTTAACGCCATGTGGATCCCAATCCAGTTCGGAGTCTGACTGTAGAGATGTTTACGACGATGACATGCCATGCCAAGAACTTTTTTTTGATCACGAAAATCTCAATCAAAGTCCACTCGATCAGACCGGTTTCAAGAAGTCGCTTCTCAGTCATCAAAACCTGAGCACTCATTCTAGAAATGCTGGCACCAGTAAAGGTCTCTCTAGACTGCCTGATATTGATACTCCATTCTACGATGATGGTTCATCCAGTGATTATTCACAGTCAACGAAGATCACACAGCAGCGGTTTTTCCATGATCAGGTTAGTTATTTGTTGTTAGGTAGGTAACAGTATTTGAACGTTGATAGACTAAGTGAATGGTCTACATTTGTCATAACTTATTTCAGTCTCTTAGTAAGTCCTTTGTTGAAATATACAGCCATTTGAAATGCGGAATTCCGAGATCAAAATTTTTATTCTGATGTAGGCAAAGTTGTATTTTCACATTGTCTCAAAAGTCGAGTAGGATGTGAATGCCAGTTTAATTTGCTAAAGACATAAATCTTGAAACTCTTAAGTTCCCGATGTTCTTGATATTCGCGTCAATTTTTCGTTGTAATATGTCGCAATCTGGAAATTGAAGTTGACGGCGATTACTCGGTGTTAAGTCGACAAGTCGTCAGTGAGAGCACTTTCAGTCTATGCTTTTGAACCTGGTCTCTTAGTTAAGGATGCGAAAGAAATCTGCTCGACTATCAACCCCAGAAAGATTGCTGACATTCAGTAGCATCATATTAGCAGTGCTGAAGGTCGGACACTGACGACAATTCAGTTGTCACCAACTTAAAACATCGGCTTTCATGACTGGAACATTTGATGTATATTGGCTCAGAGGACCCCACATTAGATATTTGATGATGCCGAGACTAATAGGGAAGAACGAAGACGCGGTTGGGTTATAAAAGTTGTTTAGGACTAGCACCTAAATTCCCTGCTACGGTCGAGGGTGGGGAGAGTCCGTTCTCCCTCTCGATACGCTCTCACATGGCCACGCGTATATGGCCACTGCCAGTGAAGTCCTACTCACTACCTTCTCGCAGCAGGGGTGTTGTTTACGAAATTGAAAGAACGTAAAGCGAATGTCCGGCACTTTAACCGGTTTGGTGGATATGGACGGTCCACCCAGGAAAGTTGGAAAATCCTGATTCCAAACTAATGGTGCACATGGACTCCAGGGTCCTGAGGGAACAACTGGCGTATGAACCTATTGTTGGTCATTGGAAACCATGGAACTGCATCTCCTAAAGTTGCTCCACTGTTTTGTGGATTAGACCTTCAGGTCAAAGACTCGGGGTGTGGCCTCCTAAGAAGACCACCTGCTTTGGTCTTGGCACACGGACGGCATCACAGCCCCCACACAAATCAACGATAACTGCTACTGACCTCATTGTTATTGTATGGTGCATATGTATTTAGTGCCCCCTTGTACCAATGTTTATGTTAGAATAAATAAATATGCATCACAAACCTCTGGTTGGTGACCGAGAAATAATGGAACTCAATAACTTCAGATGTCAGATTTGACTTAGAATAGAAGCCGGTGGGAGTCCTTTCACATTCGTAAGTGTAAGAAACTTGTCTAGTCAGAAGGGTTTTTTCTGGTTGTATTACTCTTAACTGCTTCACTTATATTTTTTTGTTTTGATTATGTTTACCATCCTCTATCTCTTCGCAATCTCATTCCCTTATTTTGTGGAGCGTATTTATTTTGGTGCCAATTTATACCAATATTTGCATTTACATAGATGAAGATGTCACTTTCACAGTCAAAACCGAATCCGTATTTGGAGTAGTTCAGTTTATCTACTTAGCTGTGATAACTCTGTAATTGCTTCATATATTCCTGTAAAAGCTCATAATGTTTCAAAGCTAAACACCAGTTCACGGGGTTTTTCTCGCCTTTTCTAAGTTGCCTTTCGAGAATACTAATTATTTTCCACTCAGTAGTTCATTTTTGAAAATATACAAAAAAAGATTGTCAAGTGCTTTAGGTAGTGGATACAACAAAACAAGCAAACATTTCTGTAATATTTTTCTCATGATACTTCACTATATTATACTGATAACAATATTTTCTCCACGAACTGAAAATTCAACTTTCAACATATCTAGTAATTTGGATTATGTATAATGCATGGATACAACTGGGATTTTGATTTTTACCACAATATGCATTGTACATGCCTAGTAATAAATTGGTGGTTGACGGTTTTATTTTTAGCTAGACTTTTGTGAGTGGTCTATATTAACTTAAGACCAGTCCCTATCATTACTATAAATGTTATGTACTGGGTATTTGAATATTCATATCAAGTTATAAGACCATTTGTGACCATTTAGCTTTCGAAAGCATTTTCTACCAACCATTTTCGTAGTTTTGACTTCAGCATCTATGTCCAATGAGAGTTGGCTTTCATTATTGTGTATCCATTATTTTCTCGTTCTAAGTCTTCATCTTTCTTATTATTTCATTACTGTAGATGTACTCTCGTATTCGTGGTACCACGCGGATTGGGCAGTCTGATGTAAGTGCAGATGTAGTTATTAAATTTAGTTCATTAATCTAATGTAGCTAAATGTTTGCTGAAGAGTCATGCTAAGACGTAACAGCTGTCCTATGCTTTCAGTCTTGCAATGATGGTCTAGCTAAGATCACTGTAATCTTAACTCATCGCATTTGAGATGGTTTAATATGTGATTTACTTTTATATTATTTGATTTTATGTGTCAGAAAACGTCTTATGGTTATGCTTAACCCATGATTTAAGTTGGTCAGCACAAAGTAATCTTATAAGTGTTACTGATCAATAATTAGTTATTGACTGATGCCATACTCTTACCAAGTCCGCGTTATGCGACTTTTATTCAGCGAAAAGCATTAAGGCATTTAATTCATTTTGTATTGGTTGTTTGAGTCTTCCGATCGACGTTTAAGATTGCAATTAATCGGTCTCTTACTGTCATATGTGTATCCTGTGTGGAATGCTTCGATATGGCCTTAATTCACAAGCATTATGAACAAAGATGGATAGTGGCTAGCAGTGAAATCCAGGACACACGTTTCGTGTTGTTTGGGACTCGTCAGCTGGATGTACCTGAATCCTAGAACTGATGTTCACTTTGGGACGCTCATACGAGTTCCAGGCAGGTCGAAACGCATGTCCTGGATCCCATTGCTAGCTACCATCCATTTCTGCTTATAGTATCTAGGTATTTGTTATTTGATTAGGATGTTCCGTTCTGTTTAGATAGTCTACAGTAATGCTCAATGTATTCTCTGATCTAAATGTTTTTCGTCTAGGTTGCTACCTACGGCATATCAAATAATACATGCTCGCACTGGGAACTTCACATTGTTTATTTTAACAAATAAACATTGGTACAAGGGGGCACTAAATACATATGCACCATACAATAACAATGAGGTCAGTAGCAGTTATCGTTGATTTGTGTGGGGGCTGTGATGCCGTCCGTGTGCCAAGACCAAAGCAGGTGGTCTTCTTAGGAGGCCACACCCCGAGTCTTTGACCTGAAGGTCTAATCCACAAAACAGTGGAGCAACTTTAGGAGATGCAGTTCCATGGTTTCCAATGACCAACAATAGGTTCATACGCCAGTTGTTCCCTCAGGATCCTGGAGTCCATGTGCACCATTAGTTTGGAATCAGGATTTTCCAACTTTCCTGGGTGGACCGTCCATATCCACCAAACCGGTTAAAGTGCCGGACATTCGCTTTACGTTCTTTCAATTTCGTAAACAACACCCCTGCTGCGAGAAGGTAGTGAGTAGGACTTCACTGGCAGTGGCCATATACGCGTGGCCATGTGAGAGCGTATCGAGAGGGAGAACGGACTCTCCCCACGCTCGGCCATACCAGTATCTGGGGGTGACTTCACATTTTAACATCTCAATATGATTACACATTCGTTTCCTGCACGATTTTTTGGTGAATCCTTTTTGTATTTGTTAATTTTGATTTTCCAAAAGCTCAAACCAGACTGTCTTTGGCGTCTTCCATACACTCAGAGTCTAACTGTTCTGAAACTATTTGTTTATATTTAGGCAGCAGTTCTTTTAAAAATTATCTTTTTCTATTATTTTCGACCAACATCGTAGTGACTGATAGTATTTAGCAACTGTACATTGGCGCATCATTTTATAGCCATGTTTAGCATCTCAATCCATTGAGTTGTATGGCGGCTAGGATGCCACATTTCATAGACCAAAGGTCACAACTATCTACTTTCACATCACACAGTATAATGAATTTTGCACCACTAAAATATCCCATTCTCCTATTAGCCACCCTGGATTTTATTGTACATAGGTTATTCACATACACAACTCGATTTTTATCTGCAACTCACTATGTGTAAGTGTATCCAGAAGTTCGTACTAAACTTGTATGTCCATTCTAATCAGAATGAACCCTGCAATTCGTTCTGCTTCATGATGTTCAATATAGTATTTTAATTATCTGGTCGTGATTCTCTTAAGCCCTAAAAAACATTTTGTAAGTAAACGATATTCATGAACCTCATGTATTCAAACATAATTGTCTTCAAAGCATTAGTTGCGAATGGTGAAACATGAAATTAGTAATCATAGGGTCACTCATGGCGATCTAGGCAAAAATGAAGAGTTTGTTGATAGTATAGTGAAGCTTCATTGAGTAAGATGATTAAAACTGTGTTACATACGCCAATATACTTACTACCATGACGTGCAGCACTAGCCTCTGTAGGATTAGACTGAAATTTGTCCAAAGGCGGTTAGTCGAAAACAGCTTCCATCAAGAAACTGATTAGCCAAACTACTCCCTGACTAGGATCTACCTGATGATTACGGTTAATGGTTGAAGACCGTAGGTGGCATGGCACGCGACTCGATTGGGAAACATATATTTATTCTGTCTCCTAATTCTTAAACTATTGTGTCACTACACTTTTTACTTCCCTGTTTCACTTCCTCTTTCCTACCCATATTTTCTTTGCCGTTTTTTATACCACTTCTGAACACCATGTCTAAATTCGCCTTAATCTTCATATTGCTATTTTTGTTTCACTATGTCAACAGAAAATGTAGTACCTTAAGCCGGTAGACATTCGTGCGTTGTTTATGATATAAAATCCCACTATTATTTAGTTTCCATAATGTCCATTTTACTAATGTCTAGGCTGTTTGCTAAATTCTCTGTAAATTTATTTATTTATTATTTGAACACATAAATATTGGTACAAGAGAGCGCCGATATATATATGCGCCAAGCAATTTCTTATCAAGTACCTAGTATTACCCATAGTTCATTAGTAAAATCCAATTTAGTTTCTTCATTAAGTTACTGGAAATTTTTATGCATTTAAGCTTAATTTTAAGATTTTAAGCGTAATAATTCAGTCAGCTAATCATAAGCAAGGTAAAGCCTATCAGATATGTGCTCCAGTTCAAGTTGCCATGCTTGATCAGCCTAGTGAGATAAAATTGTGGAAAACAAATGCCTTGATAGTGGGAATAGTAATAGCATCGATAGTAGTCGAAAAGGCTAAACACAGACAATATGATTGAAGATAGTGAATTCGTGAGATCATGTAAACAGTACAAGATAATTTAAAAACTCAAACGCATCTGATCTGTTAGGACCGATTTTGAGTCTTGTCACCCAAATTTTCTAATCATTAGCTGAAATAATCGCGCGTATCTCAACCAGATATTTCACCTACTAACACAGCTCACTCAATCTGATGCCACGTTTTGGTTTATCTGTCTGTAACTTCTAACCTACTCCTACATAAAAAAACATCGCATGTAGTGGTAGACCACCTCAATTTACGAAGATTTACTACCTCGCCATCCGATTTTCTATCTTTACCTAGTTCTTTTACCTAACTTCAGCATTGCTCATCTGATGGTCTTTGGATGTGCAAGCAATGCTTTAAAGACATCTATGATCAGACAGTAGTAACCTGAAAGTATCCTGTGTTTTTAACTGTCATCATTCTCAGTTTGTTAAACTCATCGATGCTGATTGGACTTTCGAGATAAGTGAAGTAATCAACATACTCAACTACTTCACTACTTATCATTAATATAATGTTTGACACTGACTAGTTTTGAAATAACAATTTGCAGTTAAATAAAGTAAAAATATCCTAAACATACTTGGGTTGTTGATCAAGGCAACCAGAAGACTACATTTTATTCGCGTATTCACTAGACAAAACTATATTACCTGTGTACGCAAAATTAATAAGTGAATAGATGTCTATAGAAAAGCTAAAAAAAATAGGGAAAATGAACAAACCTGATTAACACTACATGAGGCTGATAATTCTGAAGACAGTTCACTGTGACTCTATCGGTAGTGTTTGAGGAATTGATATCACAGTCAATCTAACTGCTAAAGTTGGACGGTCATCCTTAACAATCTCCGAGGTTAGTTCATCGATACCCACCGATCTCCCTCCTTTCAGTCTAGCTATTGTCATTGAGCTCGTGTTAATATCTCATTATGGTTGTTTGTTAACAATAAGCAACTGAAAAGTAGCTGGAGACAAGTTGAGAATTTTTCTCACCACTCCAACTGTCTAGACTAAGCGTAGATCATAATCTCTCTTCCACATATTGTCTAAATAACACTTGACTTTTTGGTGCTTATTTCTTTGCTATTTCTCAGAATGTGTTAATTATTACCTATCGCCTTTACCTTGTCTATTTATTTTGCTTTCGTTGCCCTCTACTCAATATCATTTCAGTCTAGTCTTAATTTAGTTTAACTTCCCCCCTGAGTTGGCACTCATCACAAATTTGTGTCTTGAACCCATAAAAAACCTTTCCGTTATTCAAACTCACGTTATATAGGTCAATTATCAAAGAATTCTTTTTCTTACTATTGAAGATACACCCTGACTGTACAAGAGCATTTTCTGTGGTATTTAGTTAACAACTCTGGGTCGGCATGTTCCAATATGTTTTTGTGGAGAAATAATGCCACTTAATTCCTGTTTTGATTAGTCCTCATTATTTATAAATAATGTAATCTTGATATTTTTCTAGATCAATCATCCTCATATGTTAGTACTCACGGAGGAAGAGAAACGGACTTTAATTGCAGAGGGTTATTCCATTCCAACGCGTTTACCTTTATCTAAACAAGATGAACGAAACCTTAAGAAGGTTCGACGAAAAATTAAAAACAAAATAAGTGCACAAGAAAGTCGCCGAAAGAAAAAAGAATATCTAGAGGCACTAGAAAGGAAGTAAGTCACCAGCGTAGTATTTCATTTTTTTCCTGTAAAAGAACTATTTCTGAATCATAAATCTTTATTTACTAGAATTGGGTACAAAATTTGTGCAAATATTTACACTTTTCTATTTCATAACCACTTGTATTTCCATCATGTTTACTTTGGAACTCATGCTTTCGTGATTTTGAAAATCAGATTGTATACTTTATATTCTCTGTTAAAGTGAACATATTCCTTTCATTCTTATGTAAGTTAAGAATCAAATAATTTACCATCTTTGTTTCCATGCACTTTTTTACTGTGAGTAGTCAACGTTTCATGACAAATTTCGGCACTTTGTTGATATGAAATAATTTAACATTTGCGCTCGAATGTATTGTTTCATAATTAGCTTTAAATAAACCAGCTTTAGGGTTGGTGTGTATAAAAATCTAGATTATGGTTAATATGGAAAAGTAACTAATTGATCGATTGGTTGTATTTACTAGTGTCAACAGCAAATGATTTCACGTTATAGAGAGTACATCTAAGGTTTAAAGTAAAAAACTTTTATCTGTCATATGTGTAGAGATTCTAAACAAAAAACAATAGTAAATTAACTTAGCGATTGGATCAGTAAACTCATGTTTTGTATGTTATGGACATATATCCATTCCTGTTATAGTTCAAATAAAAATATGATTATTTTTTTGATAAAGACATTTCATAAGAAGATTCTAGAGTTTTGTCCGAATATCTCCGTAAAAGCATGAATACACGTTTTTTCCATCCGGCTACCCTTTTTTTGGCTAGAAGCGTACTCGGTTTATTTTAATTATATATATATATATATATATATATATATATATATTATTAATGATTTTATTATTTTCTTGTTCACAATAATTATGTTGAAGTATTTGTAAATAAAAACCTTTTTGTTCTAATTAATTGTAAATGAATATAATTATTTACTAGCTTGTTCATACAATAGAATATTTAAGAAAGGATGCTAATTGTATTCGTCTTACAATGAACTTTTTATTTAGTAGTATGTTGACTGAGGTCACTTAAAGTGTGTTTGTCTTTTTTTATGTATGCTTTTCCTTTTAAAACACGGTGTTTTAAACAAAATGAGATATCTTATTCCTTTTTTTGTATACATTTTACTTATTTGTTGTGCACCATATGCAAGTTGTACATATATTCAGAAAGCTGTTCTCATTAAAAAGTACTGTATCGTCTATTGTTATACCTCTCAATAACAAAATTTAAAGAAGTATTTAACAATTTTGTTTCTCAAACCTTTTTCACTAAAGTTTAGGTTCCCATTAAATGTTATTTAGCAGAATCAGTTTGTTGAATTAACTGATTATCTACCAGTTTACTACTCTTATAGTGTTACTGTTAAGTTTTTATCTCATTTGCAATTCGAATATTTTCAATAGTATTTTTTAAGCATTCTGTTACTGGTCAGAATTTCATCTTCAATATCTTGAAATATTCAGGACTAAGAAAACAGTACTTCGCACTACTGAAATCTTCATATTCAAACTACTTTGTTTGAGTTCTGGAAAGAAATTTTTACGTACAAGTACAGCAAGGTTTCTGTTTATTAGGTAGTGCCTATTAAAATTTATTAAGAAACACCTTCCAAACTACCCACTTTATTCTTTGAACTTTTTATCAAATAAATTAGCCTAATAACACTTATTTAGCTGTATTCAAGCCTGAGATGGTATGGTCACCTTAAAACAATTATTCTAAACTTCAAAAAGCATAATAAAAGTAGTTAACCGTGTTAATTATATCGTTTTAGTTGATAAAAGAAAAGATCATTCGTAAATTGATAAGCAATAAATTTTCTTATATATTAAGGAAACTTTGATTTAATATTCAGTTTCTAACCTCTATTAAATCTACAGCGTCTAATTATTATGCTTTTAAAGTTTGAAAAATTCTCATATTGTAAATTTAGAACGACATATATAAGCGAAAAATATTGTCTAATTATCTGAACACTTATTACATAATCTTATAATTTTTATAAATGTTATCTCACTGTCTATATTTTTTCTAATCATTGACCTTTTCCGATTATGTAACATTGATTTAAGCCTTTATTATTCTCATCAAAACTAGTACACCTGTCTTCACACTATCGATGTGTACTTTTCACTTATTATGTAATCTTTTCCATTGTTATCATTGACTCATAAACTACCTTGATTGGTTTAATAATTTCATCAGTCAGTCAGTAACAACGTAGAACTTCGTACGTACGTACATCATGTCGAGTTGCCACACCACATTAGCACAGAGATGCAGTTGTCGATTCAAATCCTGTAGTGGTAGAGGCGGTAGGAGTATAAGCAGTAATCGGAAAGATTGGGGTTCGAAGATGTTATTTAAAGAGTATAATCCAGTGAAATAAATTTGGAAAGAGAAAAATAGAGACAAGGGGGATTCAGAAGCTAATATTTTAGACACTACATTATTCAGGCTGATTCGTCTGTGGTTATCACATGACGATTTTTTCCTTATAAACTGAAACTGTCAGCGTTCGAGACTAGTCAGATGGGATTACTTTCACTTCCCAGACTGGTTAGTATCTATGGGTAGAAGTAGCTTTAGTAAGTGATATCATTGTACAGAGAACTTACTTTGTTCAACTGGCTCAATTTTTTTCTTAATGATAAAAATAGTATGATTCTTGTTATTCGATATTACCTAATTTTACTTGTCATTTTAGAAGATTCTAATGTTAATATTGATTTTTTTATTATCAAGTTCTCATTACTGACATTTCAATGTCATTGCAAACAAACAAGATTTTATTTATTCATTTGTGTACTAATGGTGTTTGCATTTGAAACTTGTGTTCATTTATTCTTTGATAGAATATGCATATTGTATTGGCCTATCTGAATTCATTTGTTTTCTTTGTTCAACATATAGTAGACAATCTGGTTTTATAGTACGCCCAGAATTAATAATTGTGCTTATGTATGTATAGTTATACTACGTACTTACATTAATGCATATTTATATACAGATTTCCTTATCGAAGAAAACTCCTTGTGTTGCTCAACATAAATTGTCTGCTTAATAGGATACGTAAATAGTGTCACTGACGTTAGAGAAATTAAGACAAAGGTGGTTAGTTATGCAGTGAACGTGGTAAAAGAGAATTTTCTACTCATCATAACAAACACACTATGAAAACTAAATTGTATACATCTATAGAGTATTCTATTTGTTTATTTTCTTTCAACTCATAAATTCTGTCAATGTTTTTATTGTTAGAAGTAGTTAGATTATTTATATGAATCCACTGCCCACTCTGTACAAAGAGCAGAATATCTGCTTAAGTAATTTGTTCCCCATCAATCTAGAAATATTGATTTGAATGTTACACTCATAACATCTACTACGTTGTTAATGGCTTCTATAAATATATATACATACATGTATTATATTTCTCTAAGTTTTAAGTAAACAGAATATTTTTGAATCTGAACATGTTTATTGAGTAGAGAGGTACTTATTACTACCGGTATTTTTTAGTAGTGCATGAAAATGTACTCATAGTTCACTAATTTTTTCTTCGATATAAATTTATAAATGCACTTTGCATGATCATCAGTTGTTTAAAGTTACATAAAACTAAACATTGCAGAATAAATCAATCATTGATAATAATGATATATTGATTTCTGTCACATTAGCTAAACATTAACACCTATGTAGGAGGTACATTGTTTTTATTGTACTAAGCTGTATGTGTCATACACTAAATGAATTGCTATTTCAGCCGTCTTAGTTACCGGTGTTAACTGGATTGCTGTGTAGCTATTTTCTTAGTTAATCCCATGCGTGAAGAGATCACCTTAAATTAGCGAACGGAACGAAGGATCAACGACAAGACAAACTAAACTATCCCAATGCGTTACAGCCCCGCTAACTCAGATGAGAGAAACCATGTTCCCCAAGCAGCCAGAAGCACAAACGAACAAGCACACAACTCAAGCGTATATATACACCATAAAAACGTCCTTGAGAAACGTCATAAAATAGCGTATTAAAAAAGGGAACGAACCAGTGATATTTAGGCTCTTTTGAAGTGGAAAATACAATCTGAAGGTAAAAGAGGGCACTTTTAGCGCGAGAGCAAAAGATTTAAATTTCCAAAGTAAAATTACAAAAATAAGATCTTTACCAAGTGATTTCTGTGGATCTAGCATTCTCAACAGTTAAATCCTGCTGTTCAACATTCTTTTCTTTGATATACTTGTATTCTACGTTTTTGTTTCAGTATACAGTAATATAAAAGTTTTAAAACTATTGATCGATAAGTGTTTGTCTTCTTCTTTGTATACTTGCATTAAGTGAACCTCAAGTTTGAGAAACTTCGTACACACTTCATACTTTATACATGAGCAAACATATATTACTTTTAGAATAAGTGTTATTTATTTACGTAAACAGTAAACAAAGTGTATCTTTATTTCAGTTGTAAAATGATATCGATAGAGAGATTACTTAAAATAAGAGCTTATTGAAGGGTTCTGTATACATTCTAAAGAATATTGGATTGAATTATATGATTATGTTTCTGAACAAGAAACAGAAATTACCTATGATAATAAAATGATCAAAACAGATACGACAATACAAACGAGTCGGTATCCAAACATTTTTCAAAACATCTAAATACGTATCTTATTTTCACGTTAATAATCATTTTAATCCTTGTCACTTACAGCCACTTTATCATTTGAATAATATCTGACATTCACATTGTAAATCAGTAGTAAGTATGCATACTCAATGACCGACTACAAACTGGGGTAACTATGTCAAAGGCGTCTTTACATACTTTTAACAAATATTATGCCACTTTTCCATCAGATAGTCACTTCAGCTCGTGTATATGGGTTTTGATTATGTGATCACTAAACTTTCTCTCTCTTTGTCAGTGAATTTCTAGATAAATTTTGCTTGTTTCTGCTCTAGTTATTTATGTTTCACATTCCATAATAATGTCAACATATTGAATAAAGTTTTATCGTTAAAAAATCCAAGAACAGTGTTTAATTAATTTATGCCTTTTAGCTGCATGTCATTCATAAAAGGTTGTTATGTTTACTGATCATTACTTTATTGATTGAATTTTCTGCACGCTGAATAACATCATAAACTATGGTTTCCATCAATGATATCTTATACATTCCTTAAAAACTGACCTTTCATCTTCACAAGGTTTTTTTAATCATTTTCTCTCCAATAAACATGTTTACTTTTTGTAAATGATAGGTAAGCTTTGTACATTATTTTTGGAGGAGTAGAAACACTATTTTGCATACATTACTGTTAGATTAGATGACTGAAATGCCCTTAAGTAAGGATGCATTATACACAGTTTTAAAGTAGTAGTTGTTTACGCAAATTGTAAACTAGGAAAATTAGTTGTCAGTATAACTGGATTTCTTAAATAAACATATTTCATAATTGTGAATAGTTGAGTTTTTTTCCGAATTTGTGCATCGTCATCATAGTTTCATGAATATCATAAAACTCCTGACTGTGGCTTGCTACTTCAACGTGATGATTGAGTTCACCTATATTAATGACCCAGTCAAGATAGATTGGCTAAGAAAACTATTTCTAGGTCCTACCATGCTGAGGTCGGCTGGTGATTAGTAAGACTGAAAGCACCAAAAATTAGTCTGAGGACTGAACGTTACCCTATCTGACTAGTTGCCGTTGCTGATCATTCGAGTTAATAAGAAAGGAAAGAAGTGCTTTCATGAAAACCACAGAGGTATCAGTTTGACTAATATGGTTTCTATGTTATTAACCTCTATAATGATTCAATGCATAACTAAAGCTCGTGATTGGCTTTTGCCAACTTTCATTTATCGTGGCTTAATAAATATGTCCGTATGTCAACCAAAGGACTAATATACTGCACAACTATTCGCTCTGTTTTAGTTTGTTTCCTTTAAAAATAAAGAATACTCGTATTTTATTACCATTCCATACCAAATTCCTTCATCTCATTGCTGTGGTAAAACACAAGTTACTAGGCAAGTATGTCAAGTTGATTGATGGTTACTAAACTTCGTCAATTAATGTGGTTGGGATATTCATTACTCATCTTCAAGAAAGCGCTAGATGAAAGCCACAGATGCTCAAATAAATTTACGACAACCCATGAAGTCATAGATAATTGGACTGATCCGTGTATGTTGGCTCAGACTACGTGGCTGGGATCTCCGCGATCACCGTAAACAATGCTTGGAGACCTTGAGTGACATAGCTTAGAATTACTCGCAATGACACAAGCTCATTCATACTTTGTCTTTCCTAGTATTCTAAGCTTCTGAATCGTTTTTGTAAAGCTTTCGATTCGACGAATCTTTCTCCTTGAATCATATCTTTTGTGTCTAATTTTTTCTACTATTTCTAATATCACTTCTACTCGTGCTACTTTAGTATCTCACTGTGATGATTGGGTATGGGAATTTTAATTGATGCATATATGTGCCAAGTTTTACGTTGTGAAGGGCAACAACTGACTGCGTCATCACAATCATGTATGTTCATGAACTCAGATTAATTTAAAATGATAGGATAATATTTGCCCGTCTCACGGTTAGTTTTGTAATTTTTTAATAAAAATTTTCCATCTTATTTTGTCCAATGAAGTGATTAGTTTCTAAACGGTAATTATTGGTTACTGATATCTGAAGAGTGATATAAGATGTAAGTATTCTTCGACTGATTACCTTTTCTCCAAACGATGAGCATAAATAACTTACAAAGTACTAACTGTATTGTTTCGAACGTTGTCACGGGCACCGATAACGTGTTCTTAACTACGCTGTATCTGGTAGCGTTCCATTCGCAACAATGTTCTTCAACACATGAGCACACATTTTCAAAAACAAGTTAACCAATCATCTATTTCTAAATTTATTTAATCACACTCAGAACAATTTCAGCACTAGGGTTCAGGAATCACAATGACCGTGCAATAAATGTCAGCCATATTATTTCCTAGTGTACCATTTGTGTTTAAAAATCATTAAACAACAAACAAAATTGTTTGACAAAAAGTAAACCCGTTTATTTTGTTGTCAGTCCGCTTATGCTCCATCAATATCTGATAATTGTGATTATTAACGTAATAACTAACATAATATAGTTAAATTCTATAAAAATGTACCTTCCCAACATCAAAGTGCAAACATTAAGAAACACAGCTCTATAATACGGTTTTCAGGATACTGTTTCACAAACTCAGTGTGCAATCTTCTCAAAACATCAGGGCCCCGTTTTATCATGTAACTCATCTGTCAAGTATGATTTTGTACCATTGGCTTTGAACTACCAATTGTTCAAAACTAAATAAATCAAAGTTCCAACCCGAAAGTGCATAAATGAATATTAAGTTTTCAGTTTGCACAACCACCACGCCACTCCCACTAAGTAGGAGAAAATGTCCCAACCGTAGAAGTAGTTGAGCGTGTCGACCGCTTCACTGAGAAGAAAATGTAAATTTATTTTCCTACTAGTCTGTACTATGAACCTAATGTTTAACCTTTCATTCGAAAGCAGATGATAATGACATGATAATTATTTCCAGTTTTCATCTATCAATATACATGAATTGTGTCATTATATATAATATTGTTTTTCTTAGAAATCCCCGTTATTGGAAATAAATGGGATTATAAATTATATATTTCTATCTGGTATTGAGAAGTTTAGCTGACTGAACATTTGTACGCCTGTGTTGATGTTCATTTATTTATGTCTACGTGATATCGTATCCTGAGATCGTCCTTGACATTTTTAAGTGGTCTTTTGCATGCTCTCTTGTATCGATCTGACCTTTTATTTCAGCAACATACATAACACCCTAATTATTAGGATATATATATGCATACGGAAAGGTAAAGGTGTATTTGTACCTTCAAATAATTTAGATTCAATTCTCAATTCCTGTGTGTTAGTTGTTTATGTCTTATTGTTCTTTTTATTTTGATTCCTTTTGTGTTTAATCAATATACATTGTCCAACTAGAAGTAATTTTTGGACAATAGATATGTGTACTCTTATTTTCTGATTATTATTATTGGTTTAATTGGAAATAAAATAAGGTCTAAGATTATTACTATGGATAGTCGATTCATTCTATATACCAATATATTATTGTACATTCTTAGGTTAAGTGATTATTATTATTCTTTACATACTCGTTTATATGCTTCTAAAAATCACGTTTAGTTTAGCAAGTGCATTTGATCTTATTTAGCATTTTGTTAATTAACTTTTACTGGAACTCTTTGCTTTGTAGCCAAGAACATAATTAATTCATCGTCTATTTCATTCATCATTTGTCACATTTTTTTCTTTTTATTATCGTTATTACTCTACATATTAATCGACTATTAACCATATTCTTTGGCCTAATTAAGTTAACTTTTTAATTTACACTAATCAATAATTGAGTTTTTGTAACTCGAGTACTGTTCTTTCATTTTTTTCTTTTTACATTTGTTATTATCCATAGCAATCAATTATATATTAACCAGACTGGATATTTTAATTAAAAGTTGAATTTAATCTGGAGTTCTCTCTCTATCTTTTTACGGCTTCTTGTTTGAGATACAAAGACTTATTAATTTTCTGACTCAGTAGCAGTTCGGTTCTCTCAGTGACAGTATGGCTTTTTAATTGATTATTGTATCCTAAAACCAACTATTTAATTCATTCTTTAATTATTAGTCACTTTCTGTTCTCTCAATCGTTTTTTTTCGAGAAAAATTTAATATATTGGTATTGTAAGAGAATGAATTATCGTCCGTTCATTCACTGAATAAAGCGCTTATCTCCCAGTGATTTCTTTAAGTTTTATAAGCCTACTGTCTGTTCATCGATTCATGCAATCTAATGGCTTATATGATCCCTTCGAAAATTAGTATAATTTCAAGCTTTTATTCAAAGTACATGGTTGAACTAGCAAGCAGTCCAAACAATAGTTTATAAAGTTCTTTAGTGAGTACCCTGATCATTTTACCTAATGTTTATTAGCTTGTACTCATTTTAAAAATTCACTAATTACTATTTCATCATCATATCGAATATCTTTTGTTCTCGTAATTGTGGTTATGTATATTTTTATTATTTAGAGTCAGTATTTATTCACAAGAGAATATTGATTTGAAACGTCGTGTGGATGGCTTAGAAAGTACAAATCGTTCTTTGCTAGGTCAGTTGCGTCTATTACAGCAACTTGTCAGTAAATCTAAATCCAGTAACACCCCAACTTCGACATGCTCCACTGATTCAATCAAAACTGGAAATCAAACAAATCATTTGACTACGAACGGCAGTGGTTCTGTTGATTCTGTAACTCGAATTACTCATAGTAATGGTTCACCTTCCACTTGTTTAATGGTCTTTGCTTTATGTTTTGCTGCCTTATGGATTGGGCAACCTTCAGGAAATGGCAATCAAAACGCACTGAACACTGGTCTAAGCTTTACTTTGAGTCCTCAAAGTTCCTTCAATTTCTGGGTATCACAAGTTCCACAGCGTCTAGTATCTGGTTCATTATCCCAGGTAATAGATCAACTTCGGATGATTTAGTGTTCTTTTTTATAAAGACTTTGTGTAACCATATTTATATAAATGCATTTCATTTATTAAATCTTGAAATTTTTGTATCAGCGATAGATGATAAAGGAAATCATTTCCATTCATATTGATGATTGTAAGTATTACTTACATGAATTAGATATTCTTTGGATGTTATTTTCAAACTAGTACATAGTATAAGATGAATTTAAGTAAATTGGTAAATATACTTTGGACATTTTCTGTATATTTGATTGATCTTATAATACTCTTCAATCCATTGTGCATTCTTAATGATTGTTAATGTTTTTTGTGCACGGTCAGCACATATATTCATCAAAACAACATGAACTTGATGGTAAGTTATAATTAGTATAATAACTTTATGCTCATATATGTAAGTAGCCTGTTGGTCTTTTCATAATTTTCTAATTCTAGATTGGTTACTCGTTCTCAAAACAACCTCAGTTTAGTGAGTATAAACATAGTTCCTCCAATAATTTTGGTGTAAAAAAGTCATATGACACCCAGTTTGTGGCGCATGATTCACCACAAGAACAAACATCAAAACTAGTCAGTCAGTTTCCTCTACATTCTTCAGCTACTCAGAAATTTCATGGTTAGTTCCCATTCATTTTTATTCTAGTTAAGATTTATTCATTTGAAGTCAGCTTCTTGTAGATGTCTTTTATAACTACTCTTGTGTAATTTTGTACTTGTAAACCCTGTCTAATTCCAATGATTATAAATCCTGATGCCTATTAATTTCGCATATTATTTAGATTGGTTTCATCATATAACTAGATTCATTTGACAATTCGATATGAGAAGCGATATGTTTCATAAAATATATTCAGAAACTCAAACGTACACTGTTTGTAGGAAGTGAGAATTGTATATGTTGTGTATTTTGAATGAGTTAATATAATGATCTGATCAGTTGCTGTATTACGCGGATTGATTTGTCAAGTAAATCGTAGAGTGAATTTGTTGACTTTTACCCATATCCATGTATTGAATATGATAAATAGGTATATATATATATATATATATATATATATATATATATATATGCATGTGTGAAAGTGATGTAAACCCCAAGCTGAAGTTTTATTTTGTGGAAGAAATGTTGAGAAGACCCAAATAATTCCTTGAAATGTTCATAGAGGCCCTGAAAACTGAGAAACATTTTATCTAATCAGCGTTGAGTGGACGTTTCTCAGGAACATCTGGAAAGTGGATAGTCAAATGTCAAACTTCTGATCGTAGGGTTACTATGGTTCTAGAATCCCAAGTTCATCCGAAATGCCATAAATACTCTCGATTTTCTGTACATAAGTTAACCTTTTTCCATGTTTCTCTCCGTTTTAATTTTTCGTTTAGATTTAACCTGGGGTTATAGAAGAGCTTAGGTAACTGATTCAAGCGTTTAGACAGAAGATTTGTCGAAGAGTTAATAATTAGTGGGATTAAAAACGACACATTTGCTTACTAGGTTTTTTACCTGGTTAGATAAAAGTAGACTTGCATAAAAGTGTGCTTATAGTTTGTAACTGTTGCACGCATCATAATCTTTTAAGAAATCAAATCACTTTACTTCTAGTTCCGGTTGATAAGGTTAAAGGGGATTCGAACTACTGTGATACCATATTTAATTACTGAGTGGGTCACCTATATCTATGTGCCAATACTATCCAATTTCTAATTTCACTTCAAGAATTCATTGAATGAATATTCTTAGTTTGTTCACTTAACTACTGACAAGATTATTTAAGTGAACATTAATTAAGTGAAAAATACCTAGATTTAGAAATGCTTTGTATATAACAAAGGTGATGAAAATAAACTAGTGATAACCTGTTCGGGAATCCTACGCATATAATTTTTGCTGCTGTTTTGTAACGTAGTTGGGGATTTTTAACTCGTCAACTGAATACAGTCTTTCAAAGCTCCTAGATTGTTCCTTAATTTTTAAGCTAACTGAATCCTAACTCGAAATATCAAAGATAAGTTGTCAGCGGTTGGATTATCTACTAGTGTTTATCCTCTTAACTGGTTTTATAGAGGGACTTACATAGGTCATACTTCTATTTATACTTCGATATTTGCGAGAATGTAACTGAGTGCTTAAAAAAAAGTAGAGATCACTTCTAAACCAAAATAAAAACATCTGTATTCCATGTATTTTTAATTCGAAAATGCATAGTGTAGTCATACTTTCAGTGCTTGTTTTTCCTAAACTAGTAACAATAACGCTAGCCTTAAAAATTTATGACTTGTAGTGTATTTTCTGTCCACTATGGTGTATTGTAAAATGATATCATTACTTGTTTTACATTGATCATTATCACTACCTTTTCTATCATTAATCCTCTATCAAAACAGTTTTTTAAAGTCATATCTTTTCAAAGGTTCCCTCATTTTATATCGGCCTGATTCTACCTATTAATTGCTGTGCATTCCGTTACGTACATTAATTGATTAGTGCAGAATATAATATAATATAATATTATATATATATATATATATATATATAATATACCCGTAACAGCACAAGAGACCAAGGTGGTCACATTCAAATCCTTCCTACACCTCCTAATACCTCTCTTATCCTCCCGACTAACCCTCCTCACGTCTCTTTATCACCTCGCACCGCTAGGGCAAACGATTCGAGTACGTGGAATGCTATTCCTTGTCTCCTGAAACCACGCTCTAAACTACACGTAGGAGCTTTTAACGTACGAACACTTTGCCAAATAGGACAGCAGGCTTCATTAGCTAAAACTTTAGAATCTCGCGCCATCGATGTGTGCTGCGTCTCCGAAACGCGCATACAGGATCCAATTAGCGTCATTCATTTGACCTCACCATACCAAAATAAAGAACCGACTCGATTTACGCTTCGTGTATCTGGAAGCCCTGATTCTGCTTCCCGTGGCCTCGCCGGCGTAGGTATAGCATTGAGTCCTAGGGCAGAACTAGCTCTCTTAGAGTGGATCCCGGTAAACAGTCGTTTGTGCGCTGTCCGACTGAACGGAACAGTAAGAATCCGGAAAGATAGGGACACTCGTCGTTGCCTCTTCGTTGTCTCTGCCTATTCTCCCACTGACTGCAGCTCAGATGATGTAAAAGATGAGTTTTACAGAAAGCTTTCGGACCTTCTCCGAAAAGCTAAGCGCTCGGATGTAGTATTAGTGGCCGGTGACTTTAATGCTCAAGTAGGTAAACTAAGCGATAAGGAAAGACACCTAGGTGGATCCTATGGTGTCGTGGCTCAAAGAACAGATAATGGCGACCGTCTGTTGCAGCTATGCTCAGATAACCGCCTGTTCCTTGCAAATACTAACTTTAAACATAAGGAAAAACATCTTTTAACATGGAGACCCCCTAATTCGTCCCAACGTTGGACCCAAATAGATCACATCGCTATCAGCCACCGATGGAGGGGCTCGATAGAAGACTGTCGCTCATTCTGGAGCACATGCTTAGATCCAGATCATGCTCCAGTACGAGCGCGTATTTGCCTGCGTCTTACTGGACGTAAAAAAGACACTGCATGTAAACCTCTGAGGGCCCTACTTAATGATAGTCAAGCTAAGATTATATTTCAGGAACAACTAGGAAAACAGTTAGGCAGCCATGTATGTGATGCCCACCCCGATGCAGCATGGAATGATATCCGAAAAGCTGTGGAAACAGCAGTGATATCTGCTAGTAAGGTAAACCAGAAGGTTAGGGAGCAACACTGGATCTCAGCAGCATCTATCTCACTGATAGATGCTCGGAAACTCATTCCACCTGGCTCTGAACATAATGAAGAGCGGAGTCAGCTTAAGCGCAAGCTGACCAGAAGCCTACGCAACGATCGTGAACAGTGGTGGGTAGCGAAAGCAAGAGAGATGGAAAAGGCAGCGGCAATAGGTAATAGCAGACAATTGTTTAGATTCGTTAAGGAAACCGGAATTAGGAACCCGACCGTTAGCGAAACAATCTCAGAGAAAGATGGACATATTATTCATTCTCAATCCAGGAGATTGGATCGATGGGCAGAACACTTTAGGGATCAGTTCAACTGGCCTTCAGCCACACTTCGGTTTCCCACGATCTCTAGTCAACCTGAATGGCAAGTTAATGTAGGTCCTCCGACTTTTTACGAAGTTGAAAAAGCCATAGGAAATCTGAAACGAGGGAGAGCAGCAGGCCCTGACAGGTTTACTCCTGAGATTTTTAAGGATGGTGGTCCAGTATTAGCAATGAGATTAACCGAGGTCTTAGGTAGAATTTGGGAACTGGACGTAATCCCATCTGACTGGTCTCAATCACTGATTGTGCCAGTTTTTAAGAAAGGACAAAAGTCCTCTTGTGACAATCACAGAGGAATCAGTTTGACTGATATAGTGTCTAAAATATTAGCCTCAATAATACTTCGACGCCTAACTAAAGCTCGTGAAGAGCAGACTAGAGAAAATCAGGCTGGTTTTCGACCAGGACGTGGTTGTATAGATCAGATATTCACACTACGTCAGGTTCTAGAACACAGACACACAATCAGACGCCCCACAATGGTAGTATTTCTCGACCTTAAGGCGGCATTCGACTCTATTGATCGTGAGGTTCTATGGCAGTGTTTGTCACTGAAAGGAGTACCAAAGAAGTACATTAACCTTATCAGTCAGTCAGTCAGTAACAACGTAGAACTTCGTACGTACGTACATCAGTTCGAGTTGCCACACCACATTAGCACAGAGATGCAGTTGTCGATTCAAATCCCGTAGTGGTAGAGGTAATAAGAGTATAAGCAGTAATCGGGAAGATTAGGGTTTGGAGATGTTATTTATAGAGTATAATCCAGTGAAATAAATTTCGAAAGAGGAAAAAAGGGACATGAAGAATTCAGAAGATTAGAATTTGGGAGAACACAGAGAGTGGATGCACCTGCGCCATTGCAAACGATTTTGAGCCATGTCATTCAGGGTCTCTAACCATCGGTTGCTATCATCTCGCGGTCCCCAACCAGGTAGTCTACACCTATCAACATGACTCAGTTCACTTGTCAGTGACTTCATGGACTTATGCCATGTTTTGGTTTGGCCGCCCCTACCTTTCTTCCAACCTACTCCTATACCACTGAACATAGCACGTCGAGGCAGTCGGTCGTTGGGCATACGTAACACGTGTCCCAGCCATCTCAACTGATGAAGTTTCACTACTTCATCAATTGATTTGCCATCCTTACCTAGTACCCGTTTTCTAACAACTGTGTTACTTAATCGATGGTCCCATGATATCCGAGCAATGTTTCGAAGACACCTATGATCAAATACTAGTAGCCTACGAATATCCTCTACTCTTACCGGCCATATTTCACTGCCATAAATTAGGACGAAACGAACTGCTGCGCAGTAAACACGTCCTTTGGTTGATAGACGGATATCTCGCCTACGCCATAAATGACGCAAGTTGGCAAAAGCTAGTCGAGCCTTCTGTATCCGTGCTGAGATTTCGTCACACACTCAACTACTTCACTCCCTATCACTAGTTCGGGTGTCGATGTAACCCAATCCTGAAGCAACATTTTGCATTTCGAGGGAGAGAATCTCATCCCGAACATGCTTGCAT